GGGGAGGGTGCGATTGGAACTTGCCCATATCGGGATGGGGGTAAGGAGGCCCCACATGGTCACGTGGCCGCCATATCCGCAGAACGCCGGCAGGGGGCACCAGGGCAGTATGAGTTTTGTTTAGGGTCAGTCCGGGCTCCAGGACATAGAATGAACTGCAACACTGCTATGAGACCAGTAGGGGGCACTAGGCTCCCACCACAACACCCTGCAACTCCTGGACAGGGTAAACCCAGGGATCCACAGGCTGCACCCAGCGAACACATCTTGTCTGAGTCAGAGTTTTCTTCTTCCTGGAAGAAAAGGACTCTGACCTGGTGGTCCTCCACTTCTGAACTGAGCTGAATGCCGTTGGAATATGGGGCCAGGGTTGGATGAAGCTCAGGTTCTTCCTGCCTGGTGTAGCCAAATACCATCCAAGACTTGGCTAGCAAATGTCCCCAGCAATAGGCCGATTGCTGCCAAATTGAGAATAAGCAACCTGCCCACCCCAAAGAGAGGAAGATTGAGGGGTAAGCTGAATATGACCAGTCAAAGCACAGTAGCTACCGTGTGTACTTTATTGAATCCGCTAGGGACAGAGCTGTGAGGTTACATCTGTATATACAGGCAGGGGTAAAGGAGCAAGGAGGAAGGCAGCAGTGGATGGTGGAGCACGTATCAGGACCAAAAGCCAGAATCCTCTATTAAGTGTAGAGACGACCGGCGGACACAGCGATGCAGACCACAGCAATGATGGTAACGACAACCGTGAGGATGCTGAGGACCAGCGCGCTGATGTTGAGGCACTTGGCAGTGGAGGCGTAGGCCTGGGCTCCAGTCACATCGCCCACCATCTTCCTGTCCCTGGACTGGAGCAGAGCAGACGGTCAGTGGCCCTGTTGCTGCTGGGCAAATGCTCGGATGCTTTTCTCATCATACTCCCTGTGGACTGCATCTCTCCTGCTTAGGTCAGGAACATTTTACATACTCTGTCTATGCAGGTGGCCCTAGAACTTGCTGCTATCCCCACCATGGAGTGTTCCCCATGAATCTCCTGGGCATTTTCCACACAGGCTAGCTCCCCAGTGTGCAAGGCGAAGGGGGCACTCTGGGAATTCCTCGAGACTGCCTTGGGATAGTCTTGACCCAGGATTCCCAGGCAGCCTCACCCTATACCTGCCATAGAGCATCTTTAAGCCAACACACATGTATACGCTCATACATGCGTGTGCGTGCACGCACACACATACGCACATATCCCCATACATGCACACCACAGAAGAATGCATACAAACATTTTAAACAAAGGACCCCCCCACACCTAGGTGCCTTCTGGATAGATGGAGCTTCAGGCTCACACACAAATTTTGTTGTTGTTGTTGTTCTAAGTTTTTCAAGACAGGATTTCACTGCTTAGCTCTGACTATCCTAGAACTCCCTTTATAGACCATATTGGCCTCAAACTCAAAGAGATCTGCCTGCCTCTGCCTCTGCCTCCTGAGAGTTGGGATTGAAGGTGTGCACCACCACCCAGCTCCCACACACCTTACACCATCGCTTCCACCCCCACCACACTCACCTTCACAGAGTAGGCATAGGCAATGAAACCCAAGCAGCAGAAATTCAAGAAGAGCGTATTGAACAGGGACCAGACCACATGGTCCGGCACAGCGACCTCTCTGGGCATGTTGATCACGGTGGTTCTGACAGAAGTGGAGCCGTGGGGTCCCCCCAGCTCAGCCACCTCATATTCTTCCTTGATTCTTTCGTAGTTTGGGGGATGTCCCCCATTGGGAGCAGTCAGGAAGGCTTGAGAAGTGTGGCTCATGGTCCTGAGCAAAGCCAGCAGTGAAGGGTAGAGGATGAAGTACCGTGGGTCCACCCTCTCTCCAGCAGTTTCGGTTTCTCAGAAGTTTCCTTTTCCTGAATTTTGACTTAATGAGAATTGGCTGAGTTCTGAGGGGCGTGGATCTAAAAGTTCTGTGGATCAAATTACTCCAGGGCAGGATGTCAGGAAAGACTGTGAACGGGGAACTTCCTGTCCTGGAACCCAAGTCAGGACTTGTCCCACGGCCCAACTTCACTGATTGTGTGTGAGAGGGTCCTGCAGTATCTGGAGCTCAGGCTAACAACTGCAGGCTTCACTGCCCCTGCCAAGGTCCCAGGCAGGCCCGGCAGAACCCTCTCTGCTCCCAGCAATTAAGGGTGCCCACAGAGCCCACAACACTCACTTTAGAGGCCAGTTCTTCTGGCTTCGGTGCAGGCAGAGGTTGGGGCGAACTGTACCTTGTGTCTCCTTTTGCAGAGACCTAGTGCCCTAACATGGTTAGTCACTGGACTTTGGTGTTAGGACTGGATGGTCCCAGGTCACATGGCTGTGACCTCATGGCCCAGGGCTGGCTTTTTTGTGTTTCTCCAACTCCCTTTTCCTCCATCCTTCCACGATTTATTCGTGCTAGTGGAATGGCCACTGAGGACCGTCACTGTGCCAGAAGAGCCTTCTCAAGTACATAGTGGGGTAAGGGCTGTGGCTCCCCCCAAAGCTGCTCCTGGTCGTGCTACCCTTCCCTGACAACAGGGAGGCCTGGCCTGGACTCTCCTGTTAGGGGTTGTACTCACTTTCTGTCTTGGTAGCACTGCAAGGAGAGGGTTACCAGACCTGCTTCAAGGCGTCTTGCAGCACCCACCCTTCCTAGAGCTCCGAGTCTTGGGGTTTGGGGCTCCCTCAGTTCCCAGGTTCTAATCGTTTCATTCACTCTCTTCCTTGAGTTCCTCACAGGGTTATCAGCACCTCCTGCAGTCACCCCTCTTTGCAATCCTATTGGCTGGTGCTGGCTTAATCCTACCAGAGACCCTCTGTCCTGTCACACTGCCAGAATGAGTGAGGACAATGGGTGGGACCAGCACCCCACTCAGTGTAGGCTGCGGGCCAGGGGTTTCTCTGCTGCTCCGTCAGCAGTGAAGACTCTGTTCACCTCCTGCTGCCCACCCCAACCTGACCTGAAATAAACCTGTAAGACATGGGTGAGAAGATAAGGGTCATTGCCCCTTTACAGTGCTCAGCAGGAACTACAAACAGTTTGCCCAGAATCCAAGCTGGAAGTCACAACAGAAATTCTTGACACAGTTTATCTGGGTCGAGGCTTCTTCCTCCTGAAATGGGAGGACCCTAGACTGGCTCTTTATCTCTGGACTGAGGACTTCCTGGCTTGTGGCTCTGCACCTTTCCTGGCTGCTCCAAGTACATGAAGCCAGAGGGAGGCAATGCTTAGTTACTGTCGGGGTCCACAAAAATACACAGTAGATGGCAGATGATATTTATAAGGTCAATCCGCCAGATGTATCTGATGGAAGATAAACTCATAAGCAATATGTATAAGTCCATTGCCTATAAATACTGTCTGTGTCTGTCTATAATTCTCTTGTGTGCCAACCTGATTCCCCCACACCAAAATAGCCATAGGATTCTTCCTACAACTGTTGGCAGTGTGTTCCTCATCTGTTGGACACTATTGTTCCTGTAGATTGACAGGATGACTTCCTCTTCTGCTGTGTACTTCTGGTGAATGAAATATACCTTTATAAACCAGGCAGTGGTGGCACACACCTTTAATCCCAGCACTCTGGAGCCAGAGGCAGAAGGACCTCTGTGAGTTCGAGGCCAGCCTGGTCTATCAGAGCTAGTTCCAGGACAGGCTCCAAAGCTACAGAAAAACCCTGCCCCCACCACCAAAAGCTACTAGCTTCCTTCCCATAAATTCCCTCCTTGTGCTCTGAGGCTGCTTGCAGGATAAGAATATGTATCTTTTGACTTGGAACACTTTCAATACCAGCCTTGATAAAAGCACTCAGCATTATTCACCCTGCCTCCTGTGGGTTGCCATGGTTACTCATAGATGCTCACAAATGGCCTCCAGTCATTAAGGCTGGGGGACAGGGGCGGCGGGGGGGGGAGGACACAACACCTTCATGTCTTGTTAATCACACAATGTCAGTTTCTAAAACTTAATATACACCAAGTGGTAGCGGTGCACTTCTTTAATCCCAGCACTCGGGAGGCAGAGGCAGTCGGATCTCTGTGAGTTCGAGGCCAACCTGGTCTACAAGAGCTAGTTCCAGGACAGGCTCCAGAGCTACAGAGAAACCCTGTCTCGAAGACAAACAAACAAACCAATAAATAAATAAAGCTTGATATGCTTAAGAAATGTAGAATAATACACAACTTCTTTATTTCTTTCTTAGACCCCTCAATAGTTTAGCCTTTCTCTTCTCTAACCCCTTGTAAGCAACCTTCCTTTTTTTTTTTTCTTTTCTTTTTCTTTTTTAATTTTGATTGTTCGAGACAGGGTTTCTTTCTGTAGCTTTGGAGCCTCTCCTGGAACTAGCTCTTGTAGACCAGGCTGGCCTCGAACTCACAGAGGTCGCCTGCCTCTGCAGTAAGCAACCCTCTTAAGAGACAAGGCCACTGCCGTATGCTCCCTTTTACAACTGCCTACTAATCGGTAGCTGACAAGTTTATTTTGCAGGTGTCCCTTATGGTTTTACTCAAGGAATGTACCATGGCCCTGACAAATCGCCTTTGTAGCCTCGTTTACTGTCTGAGGTTTGTTGTTGAATGTGTATATAAGCTGTGTGAACAGAGAGGATGGGAGCAGAGAATGAGAGCTGGAAATAAAGAAGGCATGACCCTCGGATGGGATGTGTACATCTCTTTTCTTTAGATAGGTAGGAAATTCTTTTAAGTCCTCACTGCTTTGAAGGCATTCTGGCTGCAACCCTGGTGCCGTGCTGGAGGTTCTGGGAGAAATACGTTACTGCCTGCCTGTGCCTGCTAAGTAAAAGAGGACCCTATGCAGGCTGCTGGTCAACTGTTGTCTCCAGCAAGAGGCCAGAAACCTTCCTGGCTGTGAAGACCCTGCACTCTGCCCCTACAGCTCCTCTTAAACAAGAAGGAAGCCAGGAAAACCCTGAGTAAGTTCAGGACAGGACCGGTTGGGGGACAGAGAGTCACAGCACAATTGCTACCCCGCATACTTTATTGGCTCCTCTGTGAGCAGATGTGTGAGGGTAACAATCCCACGAGGAGTCCAGTGACAGGTCGGGGGGCCAGGATGAGGGGCGGCTGGGAAGGGCGGAGTGCATGCATGCATTCCCCGAGGAAACAGTGCAGGGGAGAATTTAATCCACTGACTCTGTATACGAAGAGCACATACTTCGTGGAGTGCCATCCTTAGTAGCTATCGTCTATTTTCTTTGGGTTAGAATGATAATCACCACGATGAACATGAAGATGGAGACGGCCACGGCACCGATGTTCAGACGTTTGGCAGTTGTAGCGTAGCTCTGGGCCCCAATCACATCGCCCGCCATCTTCCTGTCCCTGGACTGGAGGAGACCAGATAATCAGTGTGGACTTGGAGCAAGTTGTCCGAGAGCCAGGCGCTCTGCCTCAGTTCCCCCACTGTCCTTCCTACCCGCTGCCATCTCCTCCCTCAGCGCAAGGACCCCCTCCCTCTTACACACTCAGACGGTCCCGCAGAGCCCAGCACTCTCTGCTCGTCCTACCGTGGGGTACTGTGTTCTGTAAGCCCTGTTTTCACACAGACTGGTGCCCTAGGCTGCAGGGTGAATGGGCATTCCAGAAGCTAAGCAGTCAGGAGAAGTTCTCTAGAGTGGAGACAGTCTCATTTAGAATCCCTAGGCAGCCTTACCCTTTGCCCACCTAGGAGAGTCTCCAAGACACATAAAATTCACTTGCGCTATATGCTGTATACACAGTCTACAGACACAAAACACAGGTACATACCGGACACCAAACACAGAGTGTCACGCATGCACAAACACAAGGCTGTACATATCCCAGGTGCCCTCTGGGCAGGAAGCGCCTCAGCCCCACACACACCTTCTTGCCCCATCACCCCCACGGCGAGGACACTCACCTTCACAGAGAAGACATAGGCAAGGAAGCCCAGGCAACAGGAGTTCAGGAACACTGTGTTAAATGTGGACCAGGTCACATAATCCTTTGGGACATCGCTGCTGCTGATGTTCACCACGGTGGACCTGGAGCTGGAGTCCTCCTTGACCATGTCTTGTGTTTAAAGGACGCTCTTGTTTCAAGGAAGTTGGAAGTTCCTGTAGATAGTGGAGTCCTGGGCTCATATATAACCCTTTGCGGAGTGAGGTCCGGATGCTGCGGGTGGGCTCAACAGCCTCTTCAAAGTTCTGCTTTCTCAGAAATTTCCGCTCCCGTTGTCTGTAAACCAATGAGCTGCCTGGAAGTGGGATGTGGAAACGGCTTATGGAGCGGTACGCTAGGATAGGGTTCTAGAAAGGTAAGGGTCAGGAGAACAAACCTCTTGTACTAGAACCCGCGACAGGACTTGGCCCTCTATTTTCCTGCTTAGAATAAAAGTACTGGTGCTTTCTGCAGGCCTGGGAGTCTCCCCAGCCCAGGCCAGCAGCAGCCATTTTCCTAGCCAGGATGCTGCAGCCCTCTACCGTAGTGCCTTCCCCAGTGGCCCCAAAGCTAGTCTCCACTGGAGGAACCTTCTCTGCGGAAATCCATGCCCTTTTACTGGCTGACATGCTTTGGACCAGGGCTGGAGAGAGCCACAGATTGCTGTCACCCTTCTTGTCCCAGAGCCAATGGGCAATGTGGTTGGTGCCTCTCAGGCCCAGGCTCTGCTCACAGGCTGAAGAGGAGTCATGCTGGAAGGACTAGACCATTTATTCCAAGCACATGGCACCCTTGCAGGGCTAGACGAATGGATTTGTGAGATCCCACCGTTCCTTCTCATCTTCTATCATTTTATTGGAAGACTTGGAGTTTGGGGGTGAGATGGGTGGGTCTGAACCCCACCCAGCGGAGCCGCAGGAGGTGCAATGTGAAGTTGGCCAAGGCCTTCCTGAAATTGCAGTCTTTTCTTCTTGCCTCAGCACATCCTCACGGAAAGATGGGGAAATCAGATCAGAGGGAGGTAAGCGGATGCTTGCGTGTGCATGAGTGTGCTACTAGGTTTCTCCTAAATCACAGAAACCAAGATCCTGGAATGGTCCCCGCCCCTGGGTCTGGGCCCTCTGTCACACTTGCAGGGGCTAGGCTACCTGCTTCTTCTGCTGTGTTCTTAGAAACCCCAGGGCCAGTCTCCCACAGCAAGGCAAGGCCTCCAGGGACCCTCTTGTCCCATCCACCTGGACTTCTGTGTCCCTTGAAGCTACTGCCCTGGCTCTTCTCCAAGGTAGTCTATGTGACCATGAGCCTTTAGAATGTGGTGCAGCTCACCCGGTGCATGAAACATAAAGCACACACTGGATTTTGTTTTGGTTTGTTTTGGTTTGGTTTTTCGAGACAAGGTTTCTCTGTAGCTTTGGTGCCTGTCCTGGAACCAGCTCTTGTAGACCAGGCTGGCCTTGAACTCACAGAGATCAGCCTGCCTCTGTCTCCCCAGTGCTGGGATTAAAGGCATGCGCCATCACCATACACACTGAATTTTTGAGGAGTTGGTGGTCTAGTTTCAGTTCTGGTGCTGTGACAGATACCCTGACAGAAAGCAACTTAGAGAAAAAAAACAATTTATTTGCTTACAATTCCCAGGTTACCACCGTCGTTTCAGAAATGTAAAGGCAGGAACGCAAAAGCAGCTAGTTCACATCGCATCTGCACTCATCCCTGCCGGCTCACCTACCTGCTTGCTCTCTGCCAGCTTTCTCCTCTCATGCTTTCTAGGCACCCCTGCCTAGGGAATGGCGCTCTCCACAACAGAGAACATCAATTAACAAACTAGACAGACCCTCATAGACAGGCCCACCGGCCAACCTGATCTAGAGAATTCCTCACTAGGAATTTCTTCCCAGATGACTCTAGGTTGTGTCAAATTGACAGTCAACACTAGTAACAGAGGCTGGAGAGATGGCTCAGTGGTTAAGAGCACCGACTGCTCTTCCAGAGGACCCGAGTTCAAATCCTAGTACCCATGTGGTGGCTCACAACTGTCCATAACTCCAGTTCCAGGGGACCATGGCAAAACACCAATGCAATAAAATAAATAAATTAAAAAACACAAAACTAAAACTATCAATATTTCATGAGGGGGGAAGATAATTTTTAAATAAAGTTTGGCACATATATTTCATCAGTAATTTTTAAAAGATTTATTTTGGGGCTGGAGAGATGGCTCAGTGGTTAAGAGCACTGGCTGCTCTTCCAGAGGTTCTGAGTTCAATTCCCAGCAACCACATGGTGGCTCACAACCATCTGTAATGAGATCTGGCACCCTCTTCTGGTGTACAGGCATGCATGGAGGCAGAATGTTGTATACATAATAAATAAATAAATAAATCTTTAAAAAAAAAAAAAGATTTATTTTGTCCAAGGTCAGCATGGTCTACAGAGTGAGTTCTAGGACAGGCTCCAAAACTACAGAGAAACCCTGTCTCGGAAAACCAAAAAAAAAAAAAAAAAAAAAAAAACCCAGGATTTATTTTGATAGTTTTGAATTATGTGTGTCTTTGGGAGACTAAATGAACGTAAGTGCAGATGCCGGAGGAGACCAGAGGAGGGTGTCAGACACCCTGGACCGGAAGTCATACGTTGTTGTGAGCTGCCTAACATGGGTGCTAGGAACCTAAAACTTATTGCTTGGCCAAAATATTTTGAATTGTGTGGTCATTTCCTTGAGACCTCAGGCCCACTCCTAGTACTTCCATCTTTGGACAGTGCAGCTAGGCTAAGTGGACATGCCCATGAGCTGTGGGGCTTCTGGGTAGGAGCTCTGACTTAGCAGGACCGACTGCCACATCCCTGTTCACTGCAGCTCATGCTGTAGAGTGGGCTTCTCAACATGGCAGTGTCCAAGGGAATAGCGCAGGCTCCCCTCGGGCCCAGTCCTGCATGGAATGCAAGCATTGCATCCTCAGCTTGGGCTGCAAGAGACCAAGCAATGTGGAGCCAGACAGCAAGCGCATGCAGGGTCCTCTTCTTGCAGTGGCTTCATACTCCGGCAACACAGGTTGGGGAAAGATTCAGTTAGTGGGAAAACAGGACCGAAAGGAATCCACCATCCCTTCCATCCTAACCAGTGATCCTAATCAGCTGCACAGACCCTGGGGCACCAAGTGGATGGGAGAATATAATTGTAGTATGACTTCCACAGCCAGCCTGCCACCGTGAAGGAGCACCTAACTGGGGGCTGGACAGCAGGGCCCCAGAAAGAGATGAGGGGCACCCTCATCCACTGAATCCTGAAGATCACCAGGACCCCACTTTGTGAACAGGCACTCAAGAGAGTGAGACACCGAGGGTCTGAGGAGTCCAGGGACGAGGAACCAGTACAGAGGAGAGGCAGTGAGGGCAGACACCGTGACTGTTGCCTCTGAGATCAAACAGGGTTTTGTAAAGCTGACGGCATGTATGAACTAGTTGTTCTGTCTCCTGAATACCAACGCAGGCGTTAACGGCTAGAGTCCCAGCCTGCCTCTGCCTGGCTACCGTTGCTACAGCAGAGTCTCTGAGACTGGGTATGTTATATAATAAAGAACTGAACCTAGAAGTTCTCAGGTTGACCAGTTTTCCAGTGATAACCCCTTTGTGAGGATGGATCCTCCCTCACCATGAGAACTGCTCAAGGCCCCGTGTAGTGGGATGCTGAATATGAAAGTATTCCTCAGAACACCAAGTGCTAGAACTGTCTTGGGTAAACTGGCCTCTGGACCAGCCATAAATTCCTATACAGTATGTGCCTGACCTGAAGGTCATGAGAATGCCTGGCCACTGAACCGATCTCTCCGCTGCTGTAAACTGCTTGCTTACTGCAGATGCCCACTGCTGCTTTTCTGTACCCACAATTGCAGGTCTACCTTTAAAACTCAAACAAGCTGGAGGTCAAGGCTGCTTCCTGCTACACTGCCTAGGACAGCCCAGCGGGCAATTAAAAAGAGACTGTCTATGACTTACTGGGGGCATTTCAGGAGTTTTTCTCTTTAGACACCCCACCAGCATCCCTGATGACCAATCTCAACATGAGCTCTGGTAAAGATCAGCCACACCCAAGCCAGTGCCATATCTCTGTGTCTCCAGGGGCCAAAAGGGACTGAGAAAACTTTGTAGATCTCACAGTCACCAAGTATGCCCTGGGAACAGGGGAGAGAGAGTATGGCGTCCCATACACACCAAGTCTTGCCTAGAACTCTCCAGCACTGTGGTCAGGACCTCCCCTCCCCTTCCCAGGTGCTCCTCATCTGAACCATCGTGGGGGCCGAGAGTCTGGCCCCTAATCAGTCTCAAGAGTCCCGCTTGAGAGGCGGTATGTCGATAGCAAACAGGTAGATATGTATGTACTCTGAACAGGTAGATATGCATGTATGTACATCATGACAGAAACAGACAGGTATAATTGTTACTTTCCACAATGTCAGAATATATTGATTGGTAATAAACTGACAAACTGTGTCAGGTTTTTTTTGCAGTCATTTGCCAAATGAATCTGATTTCCTTCTTTCTGTCTCGTGTGTCTCTCTGCCTGCCTGCCCTGTGTGTGGTGTTTATGTAGCTCTCTTTGTGTGTGTGTGTGTGTGTGTGTGTGTGTGTGTGTCTTTCTCTCTCCTCTCTCTGTTCTCTCTCTCCATCCTCCCCTCCTCCCTTCTTCTAGACATGGTTCTCACTGCATAATCCTAGCTAGCATGGAATTATTTATGTAGACCAGGCTGGCCTCAAATACACAGAGATTTGCCTGCCTCTGTTTCCCATGTTTGAAGATTGAAAGTATGCACCACCACGCTTGGCTCTTGATAACTGGCTGTTGGCAAAATGACTTTTTTGTTTGTTTGTTTAGTTGGTTTTTTTTTTTTTTCAAAATAGGGTTTCTCCACATAGCCCTGGCTGTCCTGGAACCCACTTTGTAGATCAGGTTGGCTTTGAACTCACAGAGATCCGCCTGCCTCTGTCTCCTGAGTGCTGGAATTAAAGGCGTGCACCACCACCACTCAGCCACAGACGAGCTTTTTAATGCCAATCCTTATTCCTAATATTAACTCTTGGGCCACACATTACAGTTCACGTATTCTTAGTATCTATCACTGTAGAGAATGGCCAGCAGATTTTGGGGAAATTCTCTGAGAGACTGAAGCAGGAAGCTGATAGGGTGTGAAGAGGATCTCTGCCTCTGCGGAGGGCAGAGACACACAGTGAACTCCCATT